GAGGAGCCTAAGGAGACATGACAACTAAATGTAATGTGGTGTCCTGGATGGGATCTTGGAGCAGAAAAAGGACATTAGGTAAAAATTGGTGAAATCCAGGTAAAGTATGGAGTTTAGTTAATAATAATGTATTGATGTTGGTTTCTTAGTTGTGACAAAGGTACTATGGCAATGTAAGATGCTAGCAATATGGGAAACTGGGTGAGGGGCATATGGGGACTCTTTATACTATCTTCCCAACTTTTCTGTAAAACTGTTCTAAAATAAAAAGGTTATTTTTATTTTAAAAAACATTTAGCATAATAGAAGATTTCATAGATGTTTTTGGTGCTCTCCATCAAAATATTCTGGCCCTATTTTTAACAGCTGTTATATTTAATTTTAATAATTCTTATCTCTAGACATATTTGGGACACTTCATAAAAGCAGTTCTGATTGAAAATATTTTATTTTTTCTTATTCAGTGATTTTATGTTCCACATGTCCGTCAGAGTGCACAACATTTTTATCCAGCTTGTTTGAGGTTGACTTACAGGAACTACTTCCTATTCCTCTTCTTTCCCTGTAACTCAGCAGTTCTTGGTTGAGGTTCTCTGCCATAGTCAGATGCCAAAGCTCTCATTCATGCCTCGGCAGCTCACCATGGACAGAATGGCCATTTGTTATGAGAGGTTCGGGGATTCGATCAGAGACGTAAAAGAAACTTTCCACTCCAAGAAAATGCACTGAAGGTATATTTTATTATATAGAGGATAGTAAAGGCGATAGTCCGCAAACAGATCCGAATATGTCAAATAATAATTGAGGGAAAAAACACCAGCTCGACTGGAAAGGGAAAACATCCACATCGGCTGAGATAGCAGCAGATGTGAATAGGTCATATAATAAGAGGGGAAAACATCAGATCGATCAGAAAGGGAAACACCAGATCTACTGAATGGACATGACACAAATCAACCAGAAAGAGAAACACCAGGTTGACCGAAAAGAGAACACATCAGATCAATTACTTCACAATAAATCAATTACTCACAAAATCCACGCCCCACTGCCGGGAGAGTCCTGTCAATCGACACGACTGGGCAAGGATCACACGTCCTGGGCAGGGCATCCCTTCCACAGGTGGAACTCTCACTCGGGCTCAGTTTCCAGCAGTTTTTATACCATCAGTAATTTCCAGAGTAAGCAGTTACAGAGCTTTTTTTCAGAGCAAGCATCTAGTGTTCCCATGCACAAATGCAGTGGCGTACATGCACTGAACCCCCTGGCTATCGCCCCAGCCCAGTAGTTGTGTACGTGCATTGTTTACCTTGCTTATCGTCCCAGCCCGGCACAGATGGCCAGTCTGCCCCAGGCTGCGGTGCCCGAAAGGCCTTGAAATTTTTACACATTGCAACTTTCTCCATGGGAGAAGGGCCAGTTCCCACCACGCAAAAAGCAGCTTTTATATTTCTTTTTGTGCTGGTGGCTGTAGGTCAATGGAGCGGCCAAACATGGCTGTACTCATGTTAAGACACCATTGGGATAATAGAAAAGAAGGATACCATTGCAGGATAATAGAAAAGAAGAAGCCATTTGAGATTAGTGGGAGTGCCTGGGAGTCAGGCTGATATCTGTCAGCAATGATGGGGGAAAAAATAAAGAGCTAAACCTTCAAGTCCCTTCTTAGGATTGCATTCTTCCATATGGTCAAAAAACAAGATATATATTTTAGCATTCCTTAAAATGTTCAAATTATAGAATGTATTTAGCAAAGTGTGCTATATAAGTGAGATTTGTAGTCAAGTTTCTCTTATCCTATTGTTATATTGTAAAACATAAAAATTGGCATTTAGTTATTTAAGGCTTCCTTCATATTCATCTAAATATAATCAATTTAAACTTAACATTACTGCTTTCTCAGGTGCTTTATCCCTCTTTCTTTCAGTAAAGCAACTTTCATTAAAACTGATGTTTTATGTGCTGTGGGAGGGAAATGATTTTAGGAATTGTGCACTTGTTTGCTGGGTGATCCTGACATCCCGCTGTGCTTACCAAGAGCTTTTAGCTGGATACATTAATTAGGGTCTGATCTGATCCTGATTTGACATGCTACTTGATAGAGAACACGTCCTGTTTTATACAGCTCTAGACACTGAAAGTACTCAAAGTGAATAAACTTTGTAGATGCTCTTTATTAGGTTGAGAAAAGACTCTTCTTTTCCTAGGTAGTTGAGATATTTTAATATGAGTGAGTGATGCATTTTTTTGAATGCTTTTAATGTTCTATGATGATGATGTGTTTTTTTTTCCTTTATTCTACTAATCTGATATATTATATTAACTATTTTTGGATTTTACATCAACCTTGCATTCCTGAGATAAATCCCACTTGGTTGTGGTATATAACCATTTTTATATGCTGCTAGATCCAGCTTGCTAATATTTTATCAAGGATTGTTGTGTTTTTATTTATGGAGGATGTTGTATTTGATGTCTGGCTTTGGTATCAGAGTAATACTGACCTCATAGAATGAGTTGGCAAGGTCCTTACTCTGCCATTCTGGAAGTACCTCTCATTGCTGAGTTTTTTGAGAATTCTGTATATATTTTGAATCCAATGTGATTTGCAAAAAAAATTCTCTTAGTACGAGGCTTGCTTTTTCTTCCCTTAACAGTGTCCTTCACAAACCAAAGGTTTTTACTGGTTTGATGGAGCCCAGTTTTTCAATTGTTTTCTTTTATGGACCATGCTGTTGGTGTGTTTCTAACAGTTCTTTGTCTAACCCAAGATCACAAAGATTTTCTCTTAGGTCTTTCTTCTTCTAAAAGTTTTAGAGTTCTACATTTTACATTTAGGTCTATGACTCATAAATTATAGAATCAGCTTGTGGATAGCTATGAAAAATCTTGCTGAGATTTGGTTGGGATTGTGTTGAATTTATAGATCAATTTGGGAGTCATTGGTGTATTGAGTATTCTAATCCATGAACATGGTATGTCTTTCCATTTATTTAGGGCTTATTTTATTTCTTTCATCAGGATTTTATAGTTTTCAGCATACAGACTTATACCAAAATATTTTGGGGGTGCTGTTATAGATGGCATTTTTCATTAATTTGAATTTCCAATTGTTCATTGGTAATATGTAGACATACAATTGATTTTTGTATATTGACTTTATATTCTGGTACCTTGGTCAACTCATTTATTAGTCCTAGGTACCTTTTTTGTAGTTTCCATGACATGTCTATGAAGACATAGATGATCATGCCTTCAGTGAATAATGAACATTTTATTTTTTCCTTTCCACTGTATCCTTTTTATTTCTTTTTCTTGCCTTATTGTGCTGGCTAAGACCTCCTATACTATGTTGGATACAAATGTTGAGAGTAGACATCTTGCCTTGTTCCTGATCTTAAGGCAAGGATGAATCTTTCACTATTGAATCTTTCGCTATTAAGGATGATGTTAGATTTAGATTTTGTCACAGGTTCTGTTTATTATGTTAGATGATTCCCTTCTATTCCTAGTTTTCTGAGAGTAGTTTTTGTTTGTTTGTTTGTTTTGTTTTGTTTTGTTTTTTGTGAGGAAGATCAGCCCTGAGCTAACATCCATGCCAATCCTCCTCGTTTTGCTGAGGAAGACTGGCCCTAAGCTAACATCTATTGCCAATCCTCCTCCTTTTTTTCCCTTTTTCTCCCCAAAGCCCCAGTAGATAGTTGTATGTCATAGTTGCACATCCTTCTAGTTGCTGTATGTGGGACGCTGCCTCAGCATGGCCAGACAAGTGGTGCGTCGGTGCGCGCCCGGGATCCGAACCCCGGGCCGCCAGTAGCAGAGCGCACGCACTTCACCGCTAAGCCACGGGGCTGGCCCCCTGAGAGTAGTGTTTATCAGGAGTGGATGTTTAATTTTGTCGAATGATTTTTCTGCATCTATTGAGATAATCATATGATTTTTCTTCTTTAATCTATTAATATGGTGAATGACATTAACAGATTTTTCAAATGTTGAACCAGCCAAGGCTGAGATTTTGGGGATTAACCCCACTTGGTCATGATGACTGTCCTGTTTCTGGATTGGATTTGCTAATATATATATATATATATATATATATATTTTTTTTTTTTTGCTGAGGAAGATTCGCCCTAAGCTAACATCTGTTGCCAATCTTCCTGTTTTTTGGGGGTTTTTTTGCTTGAGGAAGATTAGCCCTGAGGTAACATCTGTGCCAGTCTTCCTCTATTTTGTATGTAGGATGCCACCATAGCATGGCTGGCGAGTGGTGTACGTCCACACCCAGGATCTGAACCTGCGAACCTAAGCTGCTGAAGTGGAGCACCTGGAACTTTAACCACTTGGCCACGAGCTCAGCTCCTGATTTGCTAATATTTTGTTCAGGATTTTTTGTGTCTATATTCATGAGGGATATTGGTCTGTAGTTTTCTTTTCTTGAAATATCTGTCTCTGGTTTTCTTATTAGGATATTACTGGCCTCATAAAATGAGTAAGGAAGTATTCCCTCCTCTTTTACTTTCTGTTAGAGATCGTGTAGAATTGGTACAATTAGCAAGTGCTAAGACCAAGGCTGATACCAAGTGCCAAGAGTAGTAGAGGAGAGGAGATGAGCAGAGTGGAGAGACCTAAATTTTTATCTTAAAATACATTTTGAAAGGAAAGTACAATACACAAATTTCACAGAAATCTATGTTTAGTATATTATGTAGAAATTTTAAAGTTAACTAAGTTCATAATTTAAGCTGCTGATAAAAGAATTACTGTATATAATTATGATAAGGCTCACATTTGCTGATTATACTTGCTGGTATAGTCACCAAAATTATGTTTCAGTATTAAAAAGTTGTATTAATATGAATATGCTTATGCATAATACATTGGAATTAATTATTTTGTTAATGTTTAATAAAATGTGATACATTTTTAATACCCTGAAATGTACAGATTAATTTAAGAGTAGATACTATTTCAACTAAAGCTATTTTCCTCTTACTATTAACAGAATATCCAAGGTATCTCCAAGCACCCAATTCAAATTACTAAACCTCAAAATTTTAAAGGTAACACATTTCTTTCTATTTTGCTAAAGTCTTGGGTAAGATTTTTTAAAAATCTACAAGTGTTTGTAATTGCTTTTCTGTATAACTAACTCTTTTGCTTTCCTGAAGTTCTGCTTTGCATAACCAGGATTTAAATATGCACTGAAAAATAAAACACAGCTAAAGTGATATGGTACCTCCCTTTTAGCAGTTTACAAGTTAAAATAGATGATAATTATACAAGGAAAGTAGTTCCCCTCCTACCATCTCTCCCCTACGAACTTCTCAGTAAAGAAAAAACAAACAAACATACAATAGAACTGGCTTTTATTAAAGCCTGAAAATTACTGGAAATGTTTATAAAAGCATACTAACACTCTTCTTTCTTTTAAGCTCTTCCACTGATGGTTACATTTCTAAAAAAAAAAAACGGTCAAATCTAAAGCAAGGTTCTGTGGCCCATTCCCAGCAAATTCCTGCCCCCTTGGCTTTGGGAACTGCTGCCCCAGAAGATCATGGCAAAACAAGGAAGCGTGATGTGCAGTCCTTCTTAAAATACACATAATCAGGCTTAAACCGGACTCCTGGAAAGTGATCATAGGCAGCTTTGTCTCCTACCGCCCTTTAAAATGTATTCAGTGCGAAAATCTTAGAGTTCATGCTTCCCCAAAGTCAATTTTCTAATCACTTAGGCTCAAAGAGTCTCTAGATTGCTCTTACTGGAACAGGTTCAAGTGTCAATATTTGACCTTTACTTCATTACAAGTTCCAGACTGAACAGAAAATTTTAACAACAGAAAATCTAGTTTACTTTCAGTAGTAATATGATATTTTAAGATTACATTAATAAAAATTAGAAATTTAGACTCTTTTGACTTTAGAATGATGTTAAAATAACTTTGTATGAGGAATAGCTATGAATCAGCTCATGACCAAATTCATCAAGTGCTTTTGAAATAACAATTCAGGTAAGGAGGACGAAATCCTCACCATCTCCCCAAGGACCATGTTTGTTTCATCTGAAGGCCACACCTTCCTAGCAGCAGGTATGTGCAAGCTATGGTAGAGAGACGCTGTGTCATTGTAGCTCACTTTATGCATCTCATACAGTTCAAATATTTAGAAATTGAATAATTCAAAGGTATTTATAGAACTCATTCTTTAAATCCTAAGGCAAATATTTCTATGAAGCAAAGATTTCTTATGCATAGTAAATAAGAACATATCTGCTTCCTGGGTCCTCTTACTTTACCATAGCTAGATCCCAAATACCCCTACATGGTCCCACTCAGTCTGCCCCTTCTTTTTCCTCTCTGTCTTCGTCACCCACAGCTCTCCATCTTCCTTGCTTGCTGCAGTCACTCTGGCCACTCTGCTGTCCTCCAACATGCTGACCAGCTCCACCTCAGGCCCTGCATGGAACCCACTTCCCTAGATATCATTCTGCTCCCCTCTTTGCCTCCTCCATGCCTTTGCTCAAATGAGCTGTCTTGATGAGGTGTACAGCGACTGCCCTATTTACAACAGCAACTTCCCTACACACACACGCGCGCACACACACACACTCCTGAACCTCCTTATCTTGATCTATCTTTTTCATTTCTCACCTTCTAACATACCAAATAATTCACTCAAATTGTCTCCGCCTCCTAGAATGTAAACTCTATGAAGGAAGGGATTGTTGTCTGTTTTGTTCACTGCCATATTCCAAGCACACAGCCTGGCACATAGTAGGCCCTTTCTAAAATTCTGATGTATAGAATGAACGAATGAATGAATACAGCCCACTCTGGAGGCATTGCCAGCTCACAGAGGCAGAAGAGGTCTCTTAGACTTGCAAACACAGGATGGCCAGTGGCCCTGAGGCCAAAGGACCCTGGCATGTGGGAGGTGGGGATGTTGACCTTGATACCTCAGTGGGGAGGAGAGATTGAGGGTCAGCTGGGGGATGGGTAGCAACAATGAGGGATATTGTTGCTAGATTATAAATTAATGCAGAACTCTATCTAACAGACTTTTCACAGATTGAATTGCGCATTCTTGCACACTTATCTGGGGATCCAGAACTTTTGAAGTTATTCCAGGAATCTGAAAGAGATGATGTATTTTCTACCCTGACTTCACAGTGGTAAGATATATGAGCTCACAATATTATCAGATCTGCAGAAATGCTGACATGATTTTGAAAGCCTGGAGTTGTTCCAAGGCTGTTTTCATAAGAAAGAAATTATATTTTTCTTTAGTAGTTAATCTTGTTGAAAAGAAGAGTAGATAACTATGATGCCAGGAGTTTCCTAATTATGAAAGAACTGATTGCTCTTCACCACTAAAAAAGAAGTCTATTGCTAAAGAATGTAATAGAAGTATCAAAAAAATTAAAAGTGCAAGTCATGCATTCCCTCCAGATGAGTGTCAATGCAAAGAAGACAGAGCCCAGGGTGCTGAGCATGTGCACCTCCTGCTTTGCAAAGGAGCGTGAATGTCCCCGCTGCCACTGCCACCCCGTCAAGTGGGCCAGGAGCACACTGGGTTGCAAGTGACAGTCCCTCTCCGACAGTGACTTACGCTCAAAGAGAGTTCCAGAGGCAGGTGTCAGGTTTTGTTGGGCAGCTCAACAATGTCAGTCCGTCTTTCTTTCCGAGTCAATATTCTTAGGATGTTGGCTTTGCTTCCTCTAGTTATGAAATACCTGCTACCTGTCTCCAAAGCAGGATGGAGAGAGAAGGTACAGGCTCTCCTCTCACATCTTCCCTTTGGTCAGAAAGGTGAAAGTCCTCCCCCAGAGCCCTGCTGCAGACAACTCTTACACCGCATTTTCCAGAGTTGGGTCATATCGCTGCCCTAGCTGCAAGGGAGGCTGATAAAGGTTACTCTCTAGAACAATGAGGCACAGTCACAATTTCTCACCAGGGCCAGGTACATCACTGCCTGGAACAAAGTCAGCATTCTGCTCTGAGGAAGAAGAGGGGCCTGGATGGGCCGGCTGTTCGGAAGGTCACTGCACCTGCTGTCACTGTCCCCTCCTTCAGCAGCTGCAGGTGCCACCCTCCCTCTCACCTCGGGCTTCTTCCCTCATGCTGCTGTCTCCTGTGGACCTCCTCACCCTACCATCCCACATTATCTCATTGTCACCCTGCTCACCCTCAGAGTCACTCTAGGGACATCACTCCACGAAGTCTGTCCGTCTGTGTTCTCAAGCCCCTGACTTCCCTCCTCATTCACTCACCTCTCTGTCATTGCCACTGTCTTTTCTGAAGGTGTACGAGCCCTACAAGAGCAGGGCCAGGTCCTCTAGTCCAGCGCAGGTGCTAGCCACTCTCTACCTCGCTGCCTCCCACCTTGTCCAGCCACTGGGCTGGTCCAGGCACACGCCTTACTCAGGCCTTTCCCCCAAGGGCTCAACCCTCACCTCGTCCACTTGGCCCTGGTGGCATTCCCTCGAGGACCTTCCCTGACCACCCTGTGCTCACTTTCCTTCACAGCACTACCACTCCCCGGTGTCACAAATATTCTCATTTGTTTCCTTACTGTCTGTCCCAGCTGGAATGTCAGCTCTGTGAGGGCCAGGCCACTCTGCTCTTGTCCCTGCTGTGCTGCACAAGATGTGGAGACTCAGTGAGGATCTGTCAAATAAATGAGTAAATAGCGTGGAATTCAAAGTTTCTGGTTGACCAGAAAACATCTCCTCTCCAAAAACACCACCATCACAAGACTTATTTGAGTAAAAAAATTGGGGAAGAAATATTATATGTCAAGGTAAGAGAGGAATGAGAATGTTACTATATACTAAGCTGGATTTTAAAGAGTGGTTGTAGAAATTATGTTCATGATGGCAGCAACAGGGAAAGCAACAAAAACCAAAGACTAATGGAATATTGGTCTGGCAGAAGAGACGTGCTGAGTGGGTATGAGGATAACAAGAGTGTAGGTAAAGCAGTCGGGGCCCAAGCCCAGCCTCTGAGTGTTAGCCTTGAGTCCCGGCCACCTGCCCTGGGCCAGGAACCTCCTCTCAGCCATTCCCTCCCCTGCTCTCTGCACTGTCCTTGGTGCCTGGCCTCCACCCTGACCCACCTCAGTGAGCTGATGAGCTGATGAGTGGTGTAGGTCCGCACCCAGGATCTGAACCCACAAACCTGGGCCACTGAAGCTGAACACGCTGAACTTAACCACTACACCACAGAGCTGCCCCCAAAATTTACCCTTTTAACATGTATAATTCAGTGGGTTTTAGTACAGTCACAAAGTTTTGCAACCATCACCACTGTCTAATTCCAGAACATTTCCATCACCTTGAGAGAAACTGCATACTCATTAGCCATCACTCTGCATTCTTCCCTTCCCCATGGAAACCACTAATCTACTTTCTGTCTATACATTTGTCTGTTCTGGACATTTCACATTAATGGAATCATACAATGTGTGGCTTTTTGTGACTGGCTTCTTTCACTGAACATAATGTTTTCAAGGTTCATCCATGTTGTAGCATGTATCAGGGCTTCATTCCTTTTTATGGCTGAATAATATTCCATTATATGGAATAATGTATTCTATATTTTTCAGTATAAACCAGCAAATAATGTTCCATTTGTTTATCCATTCATCAGTTGGGTTGGACACTTGGGTTGTTTCTACCTTTTGAGTATTGTGAATAATACTGCTATGAACATTCATGTACAAGTTTTTGTGTGGACATGTGTTTTATTTCTCTTGGGTATATACTTAGGAGTAGAATTGCTGGGTCATATAGTAATTCTATGTTTAACTTTTTTTTTACTGTGGTAAAATAACATAATATAAAATTTACCATCTTAACCATTTAAAAATGTACAGTTCAGGGGCTGGCCCCATGGTGTAGTGGTTAAGTTTGGCATGCTCCGCTTCGGTGGCCCAGATTCACAGATTTGGATCCCAGGTGTGGACCTACACTACTCGCCAGCCATGCTGTGGTGGTGACCCACATACAAAATAGAGGAAGATTGGCACAGATGTTAGCTCAGGGTGAATCTTCCTTAGCAAAAAAAAAAAAAAAAAAAAAAAGGACAATTCAGTGGCAACTATATTTGACTTTTTGAGGAACTGCTGAACTAGTTTCCAAAATAGCTACACCATTTACATCCCACAAGCAGTGTATCGGGTTCCAATTTATCCACATTCTCACCAATACTTTTTGTTATCTGTCTTTTTGATTCTAGCCATCCTAGTGGGTGTGAAGTGGTATCTCATTGTGGTTTTGATTTTCATTTCCCTGAGGACTACTGATGTTGAGCATCTTTTCTAGTGCTCACTACTTATTCTTTATCTTTGTCTCTTTTCCCTCCTCTATGCCTTGAACACAAGTGCACCCTGAGGTGTTTTGCTCACTCCGGCTTTCTCTGTGTACTTCCTCCCAGAAGATGCCCTTTCTTCTGTTTTGCTCACCCTCCAGTTAGGATCTAAGATAATACAGAATTTCTAAGGCATGTAATAGATTTAATAACACTCCTGCCCTCTCTCCAGAGGTGTGGAAAGTCCTAGAAGATGGTTCCTGCATAGGCAGGAAAAGTATTTTGCTTATTTGGTTCACTCTTGAGCTTTGTTGCCATCTTAGTGCTTTGATGGAATAGTGCTCTGGATATTCTCCTTTATAGTGTATGAAAGACTCTATCTGTGATTCACGATGAGTCTCTGTGCATAAATCACCAATCGTCTGTTTTGTTCAGTGGGCCCAAAGCTACTCTGGCTATCACTAACCAAGTGTTACAGCAAAACATTTTTGTCAAAGTATCAGGCAAAGGATGCAGCTAAAGCAGTGCCAAGAGGGAAATGTATAGCACTAAATACTTATATTAGAAAGGAGGAAAGATCTCAAATAAATAATCTAAGTTTCAATCTCAGGAAACTTGGAAAAGATGAGTAAAATAAACCCAAAGCAAGCAGAAGGAAGGAAATAGTAAAGATAAGAGCAGAAGTCAATGTAATTGAAAATAGGAAAACAATAGAGAAAATCAATGAGAGAAAAGCTGATGTTTTGAAAAATCAATAAAATTGATAAACTCTAGCAAGACTGACAAAAATAAAAATAGAGAAGACATAAATCATCAATATCAGGAATAGAATGGAAGATATTAGTACAGATCCTGCAGATATCAAAAGGATAATAAGGGAATGCTATGAACAACTTTATGCTCAAAAATTCAACAATTTAAAAGAAATGGACAAATTTCTTGAAAACCACAAACTACCAAAACCCAACTAAGATGGAATAGCCCAAATAGTCCTATTATTTGGACCAAATACATTGAATTTATAGTGTAAAAGCTCCTGAAAAAAAAATCTCCAGGCCGAGATGGCTTCCCTAGAATATTTTACCAAACACTTAAAGAAGAATTAACACCAATTGTATACAACCTCCTTGAGAAAATAGAAGAGGAGGGAACATTTCCCAATCATTCTGTGAAACCAGTGTTACCCTGACACCGAAACCAGACAAAGAGAGTAAAAACAAAATAAAGCAAAACAAAACTCCACTATGGATCAACATCACTCCCAAACTTAGGTGCAGAAATCCTTGGCAAAATATTAGCAAATTAAATCTAACAATGTCTAAAAATAATTATACACTATGTCCAAGTGGGATTTATTCTAGTTGTGTAGGGCTGGTTAAACATTTGAAAATCAGTCAATGTAATTCAGCATGTGATCAAGCTAAAGAATAAAAATAATATGATTATATCAATTGACCCAGACAAAGCATTTGACAAAATCCAGCACCCATTCATAATAAAAGTTCTCAGGAAGTTAGAAAGAGAGGGGAACAACTTCAACTTCATAAAGAACACATACAAAAAACCTACAGCTAACAGCATATTTAATGGTGAAAGGCTGAATGCTTTTCCCCTAAGATCAGGAACAACTTATTAATATCGAATATTGAAGTTCTAGCCACTGAATAAGGCAAGAAAAAGATACAAGTACAGATTGGAAAGGAAGAAATAAAACTGTCTCTATTTTCAGATGACATGATTGTCTGTATAGAAATTCCCAAAGAATATGCAAGAAAAAAATTTTTTAACTCCTAGAACTAGTAAGTGAATTCAGCAAGGGCGTAAGACACAATATCAACACAGAAAAACGAATTGCATTTCTATAAAC